CCAAGTCTTTCCATTTCCTAACAAATGAGGCAATGTCATTCTTTCTGATGGCGGCATAGAATTCCCTTGTGTATATATACCACATTTTCTTGATCCATTCATCTACTGAAGGGCATCTGGGTTGGCTCCATATCTTAGCTATAGTAAATAATGCTGCAATAAACATAGTTGTGCTGGTAGCTTTAGTGTGTTTGTGAACATTTGGATATATGCCCAAAAGTGGGATTGCTAGGTCATAGGGGAGTTCTATGTGAAGTCTTTTGAGGAACCTCCACACTGCTTTCCAAAGTCCAACCTCTCATTTCTAACATAGTGTCTTGTGAGTATCCATTGTTGCAATGGGTCATCCTGTGTCCTTGTTTCAGCATTTTGTTATTCCCCTTTCCCTCCCCAAATTAGATAAATGTGTATACAAGGTACAGGGTACCAAAATCAAATAACAGTGACAACAGATTGTCACCTTGTGTAGTTTTTCATGTTCCTCTATCCTTTGCATTTACTCCAGGTTCTTTTATTTATTTATTGTCATTAGTGGGCTTCAAATCTGGGCCTTGGCACTGTCTCTCAGCTCTTCAGCTCAAGGTTATCGCTCTACCACTTGAGCCATAGCACCACTTCTGGTTTTCTGATGGTTTATTGGAGATAAGAGTCTCATGGACTTTCCTGTCCAGGCGTGAGCCACAGATGCTCAGCTTCTCCAGCTTCTTATCCAGAGTTGCTTTTAGGGATTTGTTGTTGCTTTTGTTTTTGTTTTCAAGACTACTTCATCAGTGAGGCTAAACTTCTTCCCCCAGGAGGCATTTGAATCTGGAGAACTCTCATTTTGTGATATGAGCACTGTTTCCAAGATGCATCCTTACGATTCGGTGACATCTAGTTCTTTGTATTCTACACTTTTAATGGATCTATCACATTTACACAGATTGCACCCTCATATCTATCACCACAGGCCTCGGTCTCGGTCTCGTAAAGCTGAGAATTGCCCTGGAAAGTAGATCCTGCAGCAGGATTGCTAGGTGATAGTCTAAGCTAGATTTGCCAAGTATTGCCAGATTGCTGTCAGAAATGCCCACTTAACTTGGCATTATCTATATTCCTAATCTTGGACACTTTTGTTAAATATGTGTTGTGTATAATGAGTAGGTTTCAGGCTCACATGTGATTGTTAGCCGTTAGGTATAGTCTACTTTTTAAACTTCTGCTTATAGCTTCTTTTAAAGGTGTTATACAGAGGGATTAACATTTTACAAGTCAAGTGCATTTCTTTTTAGGACAATGCCACCCTGTACCTTTGCTTTCCCTCAGTTCCCCCTCCTGTCCCTGCCCACAAGTCATATAGTTCATTTTCCATACCTTGTTGATTTTTTAATGAAATATTTACTCCCAGCCTATCATTTGCCTAATGATTTTGTCTATGTTTTCCTTAAACATTAATTTTTGGTTTTATCTTTCACATTTAGCTTATCATCCCACTGAGAATCTATCTTAAAATATGGTGTATACCAATGATACAGGTTTTTTTTTCTCCAAAACATAAACTGTTACCATTTGCTAAACATCCTTAGCACTTTGATTTGTATTATATACTGTATTTCTGTATCCTGGATATCTAATCTTCTCCCTTGTTTTTTTTTTTTGTTGTATTGTTGTTTGGGGGTTTTGTTTTTGGGGTTTTTTTTAATGCCAGTCCTGGGACTTGAACTCAAGGCCTGGGACTGTCTGAGGCTTTTTTTGCTCAAGGATAGCACTCTACAACTTGAGCCACAGTTCTAGCTTTTAGCTGGTTAATTGGAGATAAGAGTCTCATGGGCTTTTCTGCCTGGACTGGCTTTGAACTTTGATCCTCAGATCTCAGCCTCCTGAGTAGCTAGGATTACATGCATGAGACACTGGTGCCCAGCTGTTCTTTTTGTTCTTGATTCAGTACCATACTGTTTTAATTACTTTGGCCATGCTATTTTTCTTAATATCTTAAATGCAAGGGCTTTCACTACCTTTTTTTTTAAAGGGTGACTTAGCCTTTTTAAGTTCTTTTAGTCCATATAATTTTTGGAGCTTATTTCATGAGTTTCTAGAAAAAATATAGCTGAAGTTTGTGATTGCATTAAGCTAATTTGAGTTAAATTAATAGCACCAACTGAGTGTCAATGTATTTAGATAGTGTCTGTCCCTTAAAGATTGCTTTTTCCACATAGATGTCTCTGACCTTTCTAGTTTATTCCTAAGATATTTTGTAGCTGTTGAATGGTATTGATTTTTATTAAATTTGTTTTTAAAACTAAACTTTTCATCTTGAGATAATTACAGATATACTTTCATTGTGAGAAATAATAACTTGATGGCATATTACAAAAGTAGTAGAATATCACAACCAGTAAATGGACACTGATGATCAAGATATACAACATTTCCATCATCATAACGATCCTCCTCTTGTCCTTTTATAGGCACACTTGCTTCGTCTCTCCCACACTGCCCTTTATTCTCTGCAAACACTAATCTGCTCTTTGTCACTGTGTTTTTATCATTTCAAGAAAATTATGTAAATGATACCATATGGCATAAAATATTTCAACTGTTTTATTCTCTTTTTAAAAAAAATATTGTAAAGGTGATGAACGGGGGTTACAGTTACAAAGTAAGGTAACGAGTACATTTCTTTTAACTTCATTACCCCCTCTCAAGGTTTTATTCTCAGTATGATTCTCTGATGAGTCTCCAGGTTGTTGGATGTTACTTAAGTAGCTCATGCTTTTTTATTGTTGTGTAGTATTCCATAGTATGGACATGCCATTCTTCATATAGCCATTCACTCATTGAGTGATTCTTTGTTGTGTCTAGTTGCAGACTCAAAATTAGCTAGTATATGTATAATCTCTCCCTTTGTATGACTCATATAAACTCAAAAAAGAAACTAAAGGTACTGCCTAATTTTTCTTTAACTAGCAAATTATACATTTCTTTTTAGCTTTGCTTTTTTTCTACCTTAATTGTGAGGAGAACTAGTAATTTTTTCTTTCAGATCAGAAAGTGTTTTTTGACTTGGTTTTACTGCCTACTCATATGAAATAATATTGGTAATTCAATAAACGTTAAATATAATACAGGATCACTGGTCATTTTAAATATTATAAACAAGAAAGATTATTCTTATAAAATTAAATTTTTTTTATTTTTATCATTATTTATAAATTAAATTTAATAACAAATGGGCACATATTTTCTACTTCTGATTCTAAGAGTGCAGTTTCCAAAAGACTTAAATTTGGCATAACTATGAATTTTAATTCTAGATTTTTAGTTTTCTTTTACTTCTCTTTTACAGCAATTTGAGGTTTTTGATGATTGCTTTAGCATATGCTATACCACTTGGTGTATTTGCTGGCTGGTCTGGAGTTCTCGACTTAATTTTAACACCAGTTCATGTCAGCCAAGTAAGTATTTTATATGTGTATATGTTGTAGGTATTTTAGTTTTTTCAGTTTATGAGTACTGATTACATGTTCTTGGTATTAGCTTTAAGACTATGTAAACATTGTTCTAAATCAGTGTTGCAAAAACAAGAGTCTATGAGACAACTAAAAGCTTGATTTTTGTAGACAGTAATGAATCTCACATTTCTTTGAGTGCTGTTAATGAGGCTGACAGACAGAAGAAAGTAAAATCTTAGTTTTGTTGACTTCATCATTTGTCCTTGCTTCATACTTCATAAAAGAGTTTATGAGCCCATCATCAAATATATTGCTATTCATAACCTAATTTGTTTCTCTCTGGTCTCAGAATAAGTGTATCTTAACTTCTTTTAAAATAACCATTTCACCCTGCTTGATGTTATTGCTTTCTTCTCTTTGCTTCCAGAAAGCATGGTAGAAAAGGTAGAGAGAGATTTAGAGAGGCAAATGGAAGAAATTCAACACATTAGTGTGGTATGATATTCTGTTATATAATAATTTTGTCCATACTGCTTTGGAAGAACCATTGGATTCTTTGCCATTTTTCATTATCTTATAAGCAGTGCCCCATGAATGTTGTCATGCATGGCTTTTAAGGCCTTTCTTACATAGTGCAACTGGATATATATATAGAGAGAAATTGGATTGCTGGTTATTAATGTATACCTCCTTTCACAGATAATGCCAAGCTTGTCCAAAGTGGTTGTTTCCATTTCCATTTACAATCCTACCAGCAGTGCATGACATTCCTCATTGTCCTATATCATTACCAATACTTGATTATGTGCACTTTAGACATGCTGATAGCTATGCACTTGTATGCCATTATACTGACATCTATGGATCTTTTCAAGTGTTAATTGGGTATTTGAATATCATTTTGGGGGACACACCTGTTCAAGCTCACTGTTGGGCTGCCTTTTTCTTACTGATCTAAAAGGAGAGAGCTGCAGAAGGAGGTTCCCAGTGGAGTAGGTGAGGTTCCCGACACCAGTAAAACATCAGCTGAGAAAGGAGCAGCCATGGAAGGGCAAAGCTGCTAGAGGCTTATCAGGGAGAATGCTACAGAGTTTAAAGCAGAACAGAGCCATTAGAGGACAAGCAATGTCTTGAAGCTCTGGCACAGCCAATATCCTGACACCTTATTAGCAATTAATTAATGCTAGAAAGGTCAGACAATAAGCAGGGCTGTTCCCTGGATCTACTAGTTAGACCCACCATAAACAAAGCCTATACTGAGTGCCAAGCCCTGACAAAAGTCTGCAGAGGAGACAGTTTAGAGATTAAGCCCTACCAAGTGAGAGAGGCTTTATTTCTACCCTACCCTAATAAAGCACAAAGCCAAGCAAGGCTACACAGATTCAGAGTGAAGAGCCAATAATCTGTCAACTATAACAACAAAAAAAAAACAATCATTTTAGAGGAATAATAAGAGAACCCAGAATCCTTACATTCATCATTCATAACATACAGAATACAGTTAATGAAAAACACATTAGCTATGTGAAAAACAAAAACAAGTGCCAGGCACTGGTGGCTCACATCTGTAATCCTAGCTACTTAGGAGTCTGAGATCTGAAGTATCACAGGTCAAAGGCAGGCCAGGCAGAAAGTCCATGAGATTCGGTTTCTAATCAGCAAAAAGCTGGGCTAAATGCTTCAAGTGGTAGAGCAGCACAAAGCCAGCACAAAGCCCTGAGTTCAAACTCTGGTTTGGGGAAAAAGTAACAAACAAGAAAGTACGACACATATTTTTTAAAAAGAAATCACTCAATAAAAACTAGCCTAGGGGGCTGGGAAGGTGGCTCAGTGGTAGAGCGCTTGCCTTGCATGCATGAGGCCTTGGGTTCGTTTCCTCAGCACCATATTAGCAGGGGGAAAAAGCCGGAAGTGGCTCAAGTGGTAGAGTGCTAGCCTTGGGCTCAAGAGCTGAGGGACAACGCCCAGGTCCAGAGTTCAGGCCCTACCACCGGACCCAAAAAAAAAAAAAAAACTAGCCTAGGGCTAGGAATGTGGCTTAATGGTACAGTGCTTGCCTAGCATGCATGAAGTCCTGGGTTTGATTCCTCAGTACCACATACACAGAAAAAGCCGGAAGCGGCACTGTGGCTCAAGTGGTAGAGTGCTAGCCTTGAGCAAAGAGAAGCTCAGGAACAGTGCCCAGGCCCTGAGTTCAAACCCCAGAACTGACAGGGGAAAAAAAAAAAACCTAGCCTAAATAATCAAGATTTTCATAAACACATTTCCCTGTTATATTGTACAACTACATTGTTCAGCCATTACTCATATGTCACTGTTTAAAATTTAAATCACCTGAAATGAAATAAATTTAAAGTTGGACTTCCTCCTTCATATTAGCACTTTTCAAGGACTGTTTACCCCACCTTGCATTCCTGGACTAACACCATCTGTCAGTGTGATACATTATACTACATGTCACTGGATTTAGTTGCTTCTTTTTTGGCACTTAAATTTATGAATGAGTGTAGACTCCAATTTTTCTTTCTTGTCCTATCTTTTCAGTTTTAGTATCAATGTTTAAAAAATAACAGGATCTTTAAAAGTAACAGGAATTTTTTTCTATTTTGGAAGAATTAATGTAAGATTAATTGATTAATTAATGTAAGTATTTAATAGTATGTAGCACATGGTTTTATTATGTCTCCAAGGACAAAACATTTGAGATGATGGTTATCTGCATCTTCTCTTGGTTACTTTTTTTTTTTTTGGATCTTGGTTACTTTTTAAAACAACTTTTCCAGTGGCTTCCTGTTGTTTCTTTTCTATTCCATTGACTTCTGATTTTGTCTTTATGTCTTTCTTTCTTCCTGCTCTATTGAGAAAGAGTTTTAATCTAAATGCCTCAAATGTGTGTGGTTGTATCTGTGTCTGTGTGTAGCTGTGTTTGTGTCTAGGTGCCTGTAATGGGGCTTTTTCTGCTCAAGGCTGGCTCTCTGCTACTTAAGCACAGCTTCACTTTCAGCTTTTGGCTGATGAATTGGAGATAGGAATCTTACAAACCTGCCTGAACTGACTTTAAACCACAATCCTTGAGACCTCAGCCTTCTGAGTAGCTAGGCTCATAGGTGCCAACTTGTATTTTTCAGTGATAAAGTTTTTGATAGCATTTATAATTTAAAATTTTCTGAGCAAATGCTCTTGTTTCTAGTTTGATCTATTAATCTAGTTTCAGGAATTGATACCATTTAAAGTTGGATTTTGGTCCTGTGGAATAATGTTCTATTTCCACTGCCACTCCTATTAGAGTATAGCCCTCTGAGTCCCAAATTAAGGCCTTACCAAGGTTTTTAGAAGACCATCTACCCCTAAGCAAGCCCCCAACTCATATTTTTTTTGTTTCCTAGGTGAATGAGGCTAGTAATAACTTCTCAGATCTTTTTCTACATTGTTTTAAATCAGCAGACACTCTTAAAAATTTTTTTCTTCAAGCACCAAGCTTAACTCTGATTTTCTTTCCCATCCTAGATCATGGTTCCATAGTCTAGATTGCCTGTGGTCTCTCCATCGACTTTAAACAGATTTTTCCCTCAGATTTTTAGTTCTAAACTGGAATACTAATCCAAATTACCTAGAGTACCCAACTTAATCCATGCTGAGCAAAGGACCTTAATCTGAGGAATTTATAATAATAGGAATTTATTTCCTACCTTTGTGGAAGTTAGGAGGTCCAGAGTCAAGGTGCCAGCAGATTTGGTATCTTGTGAGGTCCTAGTCTCTACTTCAAGACAGCACCTTCTTGCTGCCTCCTCAGTGGCAGAAGAGTCAAGGTAGCTCTCTCAACCTCTTGTTTAAAGGACGCTAATCTCATGAGGGGGCACAGCTCTCATGACTTAATCATCTCCATATTATGACATTGAGGATTAGACTCCAACATACAAATTTGGAGAGGACACTGGTATTAGACCACAGCCATACTTGCACCCTAAGAAGAAAGTCTCCCTTTACTTTTCTGACCTACTTTTTTGGATAGCAAGTATTCCCAATGTGTTCAGTTCTGATAAGGAAAAAAATGCATTACCTATTTAAATTATGCTGACTTTGCATGTCTATGTCTTGTTCTTTAAACTCTAAGAAGCCCTTCCAGGGTATCTTTCTCTGAACAGACTGAGAGATACAGTGTGTATGAAACACACCAGCTACTAAAAGGAAGTTTAAAATTAAATGAAAGCAAAAAAATTAAGGAAAATGTGCAGTTAATTACTGGGGAGAATTTTAATAACTAAAGTTACAAAGGATGAACAAAGGAAGCAGAAATGCACAAACCAGCATGAAAGGACCAGCATCAGTACAGCCACATGTATAAAGGTCCTTTGCCTGGCACAAGACCTTATACACTGAGGGGGAACCTGTTACTAGCATCAAGGAAGTCTTAAACAATGATAGTAAGTGTCCTGCTATGAGAAAGTAGTCCTTCAGAACAGAGTCCTTTTTACACAAATGTCAGTGGCATGCAGGACAACAGATAATATAAGCTTTAGGGTGTTTTCTTTCCTGAGACAGCATTTATATTTTTCAGAATTCCAGAATGGCAGCAAATACTGTAAGAGCAAAAACTTGAATAGAGTTAATGTATTGCTTAGACTAAGCTGCTGTGAGAAGTTTAACTCCTCAAATGCTAAAAGTTCTGAGGAAATTGTTCATGTTCATTGTGATCCAGGGCCATTGATCACAGTTTAGACAATTCTTTTCCTCAGTCTGACTTAGATCCTTAAGTTTCTTCTTCTTTGGAGGCCTTTAGTCCCCTTGGAACTTGTAAATATATTCCTGGGTGGCAACTAGGTAATCACATCTAGAGGGAAAGTAATAGAAAGGGAAAAGAGAATGTGGAAAAGCCACACAGCTGTTTTCTTAGGCTCTGTCTCCCAGAAGTAGCACACTTCACTTCTGCCTACTTTTCTAATGAGAACTCAAGTCACGTGGTCACTTTTAGATTACATGTAATCTAGCTAAGTACCAGACAGAAGAACATAACATTTAGTGGTTAGCTGGCAATCCCTGTCACAAGTGTAGTGAAAAATATGAGTCAAAAGTAAGAAAAAGCTGGGCACCAGTGGCTTATGCCTGTACTCCTACCTACTCAGGAGGCTGATACTTGAAGATTGTGGTTTGAAGCCAGCCCGGGCAGGAAAGTCCATGAGATTGTTATCTCCAATAAACTACTCAGAAAAAGCCAGAAGTGGTGCTGTGGTAAAGCGTTAACCTTGAACAAAAAAAAAAAAAAAAAAATGAAGCTCAGGGACAGTGTCCAAACCTTAAGATCAAGCCCCAGGACCAGCCAAAAAATAATAATAATAATAAAAAGTAGTTTGGGTAACTCCTAAGTGCCAGGTCAAGGTTGGACTTTACCCAAGCTAGTAATTATTTCTGAGCAGGGGAGTGTAATGATTGAGATAACATTCTAACAATAATGGACAAACTAGATTCTGAGGAGCTTTTCAGAGGCTTTTGTAGGAGTCTGGAAATAAGAAATGAACTAATAAGTTGGTGTGGTTATCATAGTAAGGATAAAAAGGAAGAAAATGCACCAATATCATTAGATATACACAGAATTTCAGTGATAACAGCCAACATATTTAGCACTTTACACTTACAAGCTTATTTTTTACATTTATGAACTTATTGAACTTCAAAAAACTCTTATCATCATTCTACTGTTGCAGAAAATGAGATAGAGTGTGGTTTGGAACAGATAGCAAATCATAGTAAGAGTTAAAGGTCCATGAGCGATGAGGAAACACAGACTACTTGAAAGAGTGTGGATGAGAAGGTAGGAAAAAGAAGATAAGCTAGGCGGAGCCCAGTAAGGTGATGTTTATTGAGCACTTCCAGTATGCTGGCCACTGACCCAAGTCCTGTGGATAGATTATGACATTCCTTCCATTTTACACATAAAAAGACATAATTAACCCTAGGTCACAAAGCTAGTAAATGGCAAGATTAGAACTATTTTCCAAAGAGAAAAATAGACTGTACATTTAAAACCTAGCTCAGTGTCTCTTTCTCTACATTTTTCTTTCCCTTCTTCCCTCTCTTCTCTCAGTACATTTTCAGATATAGCCAGATGTTTTTGTACCTGTTTCCTAGTAGTTTCTCCTATATCAGTTATATTTAACTTTTTTGAGGTCATTGACCCTTCGCCATTGTCTTATGTATTCCTGGTATGTAGCACATACCTGAAAATATTTGTAAAATGATGTTGATTTTGTTGATGTAAATATTCCAGTAAAGCATAATCAAAACTTTAGTTTGTGTTTATTATATATCTTATCATTACATGTACTTGCATAAGTAAAATTCCCTAGATTTGTTGTCATTTAAGTCATTACAGAGAATTTCTTTTTTATTTCCTCTCAGTTGCAACATGGCAGTCTTGCATTTAATGTGTCTGCTACTTTGTTAACAGGTAGATGCTGGCTGGATTGGATTTTGGTCCATAGTTGGTGGCTGTGTTGTTGGAATAGCTATGGCAAGGTGAGAATATTTTTTATATTAAACATGTGAGTGGAACAAGGCTCCCCTAAATAAACATTAAAGTTTAGAGAAAAGTGAAAGAGAAAAAAACCCACAACATTCACTAGTAGAAATAATGGCATATCATTAGAGAAACATCTCCAAGAATCCAAGGGAAGGTATGACAGTAAAAGCAAATCAGTAATTAAGAATAAGAAAGAATTCAAAAGAATCTATTATCAGAGCATCTCATGAAAAGTTGGTCTCCTGATTATCCAGTGTTCATTTCTGGTTTTTTTTCCACAGGTAGGTTACAGTGGTTTCCTACTTTCATAGAAAAAAGGTTCCGATTTTCTTCAAGCTCTTTGATTTTAACCCATTGTGACAACACATTTTTAAAATGAATCAGAAGGAAAAAAGGTCCCCTTCATTCTAAAAAAGGAAAGAATAAAAATGTTACTTTTTTAGTGAGTGACTGTGAAACCAATCTGATAATATTCATTCACTTGCTAAGTCATTTTACTCTAATAAAAAACAAAATTAGGAAATCAGATTAACCAAGAAGGGAAGAATTGAATTCTTCCTTCAGAAGATCAAATAAGATATATAACTCACCTTAATCTCTAAATACTTAATTGTTATATGTAGATCTTACAGTTTGCTTAGTGTTTCTGGTATAATGAAAGAATAAGTTAACATCAAAACTTCTAAATCACTTTTTTGAGGTTTTTGTAAGTTAGGTAAACATTAGAATAAAAACCTAAGAGCTGAAGAAGTAGAATGGGAAAATATTCTTTATAGGAAATCACTGATTCCAAAATAGATTGTTCTGTCACATTTTGATAAGAAGCATACTAAAGTTTTCAAATTAAACATCCAAGCTAATTAAAGTGAATCATCATTGATCAAAACCAGTTCTGCATACTAAAAGACAAGAGAATTGTTGTGCATCAGACATGACATCTCACATTTTATTTTTCTATAATTCATTCTTAACTATAGATAGATACAACTAGAGGAAAAATTAGGACATTTTGTATTTATTTCAAGACAGGATATCACAGTGTAACTCAGGCTGACCTCAAACTTGTAATCCTCCTGTCTCAGCCTCCTTCTTCTGTAATTAGATTTTCTAAAGGCTGTTACTGAAGGTTTTTGGTTCTATAACATTCTTTGATGTTATCAATGCATTTGACAGGACTAGGTCCTCAAGAGCAGCAGGCCACACTGGTCAGTTTGTCCTTGTGTGATCAAAGTATGAAATGTTAGTACACTTCAACTCTTACTTGAACCAGAAAGGTATTTTAGTCTCTCCTACCTTTACATCTACCTAACCAATGAGGAAATGTATGCAGCCTACCAAAATGTAAATCAGGTAAGGGGCTAGTAAGCTTGGAATTAGATGGCATGTTTTATATTTTCTTTTTTTTTATATATTTTCTTGAGGGACATTTCTATCAAGCTGTGGAATCTTTCTCAGAGTTCGTAGAAATCTGATTGTGAACTTTCATAGATAGATGAGAACAAATCTGTCACTAAATTGAAGTGCATCTATTTCTCCCACCAAAAGATGGCTCTCGTAGGAAGTCATTTTTGTCTAAAAAATGTGATCATGAAGTAAGTACAGAACAAAGGATTCCAGTACTGTTTAAGGACATGAATTATCATAGGAATTACAATCATTTTTTTTTAATTCAAAGTGGAGAAGACATAGCAAATGCTGCATTTGGGGATGGGATATTTTTCTATAATAGAAATAATTCTAAAGAATGGAGCAATTGTGGATAGATGCAGCCAGAAGATTATTCCTGTACAATCAACAGTTAATCTGCAGGTGAAGAAAAGCAGTTGGAAATGCCAGGGGAGGCGGGGGGGGGGGGAGTTTGGCATGCATTTTAGTTTCATATTTGTTCAGGAAAATAGTAGTAATTTCAGTACTTAAAATACTATAAAACCTCTAAGCTATATAGAATGGTCTTTAGTATTCTAGATGCTAATGGCTTTTTTGTTTGTTTTGTCTTGCTTTGTGTGTATATCTTATTTATGATTGATTAATTTATTTTTCTATGCCAGTACTGGAGTATGAATCCAGGGGCTGGGCCCTGTCACTCAAGGCTGGCATTCTACCATTTGAGCTACAGCCTCATTTATTGCTTGTTAGTAGTTAATTGGACATGAGAGTCTCGTGGATTTTTCTGCCTCAGATTTTAGCCTTCAAGTAGCTAGGATCATAGGCTTCAGCCACTGGCACCTACCTTATTTTTTGTTGTTTTTTGAGACAGGGTCTGTTTATATAGCTCAGTCTGGCTTTCAACTCATCATGTAGCTAAGATTGGCCTGAAACTTGCAAAGTCAGGTTGTGGCCACCACACCTGGCATGCTGTTTATATTCTTATTCTGAGGGAGCTTTCAATCTGATGGGGAAGACAAAATAATTAAACAAGTACAAAAACAAGACAATTTCCAATAGAGAAAAACATTAGGAAGAAAAAAAAACAGCATAAATGAGGAGCCTTAATCTAAGGACAGGGCCTTTTCAGTGAATATGGAGGCTGTGTTAAACTGGAATGAGAATGAGCTGAGGCATATGCACTCCTGAATGGAATGAGCCATGTCAGGGTCTGGAGCTACCGGCTTTGCACACAGACAAGTAAGCAACCTTAGCATGTATGAGAAACAAACTCAGCTGTCTAATGGGAGCAGAACAAGGCAGGGAGAGGCAGATCAGCACGAGGACCCCAGAGGCTCCGAGCGAGCTTTGGGGAACCTTTGAAGTGCATTTCCTAGGTGACTTTTCGGAACCCTATCATTGAGATCAACAAGTTAATCTATTTTCTAACTTAATGTATATTCATTATAGAATGGGTAAAAAGTATAAAAATTCAAAAGAATGTGGCATTTGAAAATGTAAAATTTCATCCTGTGAATTATATAGATCAAACAGAGATGACCTTTTGTGTACTTTCTAAGATTAAAAAAAAGGATTAGAAAGTACTATCATATACACACAAAAAAGTAATTGTGTTTAAAAAAGTGTGTCACTAAATTAAAAAAACAAACAGAAAAGCCCTAAAAGTCCAGCTAGGATTAACAGAAAATTGTTTCCTCTCAGGTTTGCAGATTTTATCCGGGGCATGCTGAAACTGATTCTTCTCCTCCTGTTTTCTGGGGCGACACTGTCATCCACATGGTTCACCCTAACCTGTTTGAACAGTGTCACCCACCTGCCTTTGACTACAGGTGAGCACTGTTTTTAAGCTCTGAGTAAATATTTTCAGTTCATAGGAATACACATACTCTGACAGTAGAACTTCTTTTTGCTGTCCTTCAGTAATCATTAAGTCTCCCTGTCCAAACATCATTCCACCATCCCAAGAAATTACCTCAAACCATTTAACTGGCATTTTACCTATGGAAAAGAAATGTGTTCTTTAACTTAAATTCATAAGATAGAAATGCTTGTGTTCATTTAAAATTTATATCAGAACATAGCACAAAGATTTTATTTATAGTCATTACCTCATCATTAAACAGTAAAGATGATGATGGCAGGGCTATTTAATGTATACTTTAGTAAAATTCTTTGAATCAGCAGCTATAGCTTTATTTTATATTTAGTTTTATTATATAAGTACAAAACCAAAATTTATGGAAAATGCCTTTTGCAGTTATAATAGCCAGCATACTTAGTTCATCTAACTGATCTAAAACATTTGTGGTTGCTATTCTTTTTATTGTTAATTAGTTCAGTACCTGTTTCTATTACTGTTGTAATGTTATTAAATTTAGTGGTTTATAAAACAGCATAAATTGATTATGTTGCACTTTTATAGGTTAAAATGAGACCCACGATGGGTGTCACTGAGTCACAATCAAACTGGGTAGACTGCAAGGAAGAATCTATTTTCTCTCCTTTTCTAGCTTCAGGAGTCTGCCTCTTTCACCGGCTCATGGCTCATTCTCCACAGCCATCAACAGCAGGCCAAGTCCTCTCATACTGCAGCATCTGCAGTTCTCTCCCATAGTCATGTTGCACTCTGCACTCTCCTCCTCTGCCTTCCTCTTTTTTTTAAGGATCTTGTGACCACATCAGACCCTCCCAGATAATCTAGAATAACCTCTCAATTTTGAACTCATATGATCAGCAAATTTAATTCTATTTTGATTTTAATCTTCTTTTCAATCGGAGGTAACATATTTACAATTTTCAGAAGCTAAGATATGAATCTTTGAGGGAGAAGGATATTCTGCCCACTACAGGATCTTTTTTTTTTTTTTAATTATTGTGATAGATTATTGTGTACACTAGGGGACTCTGTTATTCCTTCTTCCTTTTGTTAACAAACAGTTGCTTAAGAGTCGTATTTCTTACTCCATTTGTGTGTAATATCTACCTTTTGGATTATGAGCTTAATTATAGGATTACTTGTTATGAAAGTAGATTTAGGGCTAATATGTCATAACAAGCATTTGTATGAGTAGGAACAAATAAGAATGTGAGCAGGCCCCATGGGACTTCTTGCAGTGGCATGTAAAATCCATGAGAAGGAGGGTTGCTTGTGTCTCCATATGACTGAGGAATATAATATATCCCAGTTTGGATCTCTGCACTGTACAATAAAGGAAACAGTTTACCCATCCAAGGCAGCAAATCTTTAGAACGTATTTATCTTTGCAAAGGTTGTTTTTCAGTAGTTGGTGTATTATAAAGCAAACATCATACAAAATCAGTGCAGAATAGAAAATCATTCTGATTTGAGATATAAGAAGCTGTGCAGTGCCATCAAATACACACATTCCCTTTGTAAAAAATTGTAGTCATTTAAGAATTAAATAGGACTGTATTTCTCTGCATTTATGAGTATGGCCTTTTAAATAGCTACTAAATTGTTAGGGCATAATTATTTATTCAACTGCTTAAATAACTATGTAATTGTTAGCTTTCTTTTGATCTTGGGACACCATGAAAAAATTACTGAGATACTGAGTGCTAAGAACTGGAAACCTTAACCTGTTCTGCTGGCAGTCCTCTCTCTCTCCTCAGTGTGTGCATTATTTGAGAAGCATTGTTGTCCAAGGTAAAAATTAGACCCAGAATAAAATATATGCACTATTTTTACATAATGTTCCCAAATTTTTGGCAAGTATAATGGGCCAGACTAATGTCATAACTTAGCATTTGAACAACGCTAGTGGGACAGTCTTAGTTTATAACTCTTCTTACTCAGGACAATACACACAGATTTTTTTCATGGTATGATATATCAAGGAAACATCTGTAAGATTTTCTTTATAAGTGCCAAATATTGAGTACCTGAAAAACAAAATTCTTTCCCTCAAACTAAAGATAGAATATTTATTATGGGATAACATGTTTCTTCTACTTTAGATATTTTCTATTCAACATGACCAAATTAACAGTTATTTCTGAGTAGAGGCATTAGGTATGAGTTTAATTTTTACCTCCATTTTATATATTTGTAAGCATGTTTTCTTTCTCTAGTCAAGGAAAAAATGTATTTGAAAATAATACATTCTTTTAAATCTTACAAGAACATTAATGTTTGTGACCCTGATCAAAGACCCTGTTTTCCCAGTCTGTTGAAAATAATCGTATTGGACAGAAATGAAAGCAGAATTCTAAATTAAATTAAGAAAGGAATAGAAAGGTTGAGTTTGATGTTGACCATCTTAACAATTGTAAACTCTATCAATCCTGCTGGTTTCAATTGCAAGTCTGTTTCAGAATGTCACATATATTCCTGAAAAAATAATTTTAACTTACAGAGACTGTATTTTAAAGACTGTGTTTGTTCACATTCCTTTTCTAAATTGTCATAGTTTTTTTCCTCTCCTTTCATCAAGTAATTCCTTCAGTATATTTCTTAACTTCCCTAACAGTCTGAAGCATAGACTTACATCTTATAAATTCTGTCCCCAGCTCCCACCCCATCACCTAGCCCTCATGAATGGATGAATGAATGAATGAATGAATCGAGTATATGTTATACCCACTTGATTGTCAGAAGACAAGCCTTCTTGCTAGTGGTAGTAAGTAAGCATAGTCACTTCATTACTCAGTGGTGGCTATCGGAATGAAAAGGTCACATTTTAATGGAAGAATAGAGAATTGGGATGTCTAATCACAGATATCCTTACTGCCTTTGTAAAAATCTGACCTAATTCCTTTTAGGTAAAAGAGGTTTAATGAGAGAGAACTTATTACAAAATTTATTATTCACAAATCTAGACCTAGGGTTGCTATTTAAAGTCAGTGATGGCAATTTCATGTTTCTTTTTTAATGATCATTATGAGAAGACTATCTAGTCTTTATCCTCTTAGTATTTCTATTATAGGTTTTTATATATCAGGAGAATCTTATCTCCATGAAAAGTATGTGAACTAAAGCCATGTTCCATACAGTGATGTTTGGGGGTGGGGAGGGAAAGTAGCAGAAATGATGGTGGTCCCCTAAGATTATGTCCCCTGCTTCATCTTAGCTGTCTTGCTTTGTGTAAGTGCACTGTTTGGTGTTTACAGGACAGAATCACCTAGCAACACATTTCTTAGAACATGTTCACATCATCAAGCAATATGTAACTGTATGCAGTAATAATATGGACATAGTAAATTAAAAACTAGTTTATTTTGATCAACATATAGGGAGGGTATAAGTGCCAAATGTTCTTGTTTTCTGTAGTCCACTGATCTCATTACTATTGCTATCTCTGCAAAAGAAAAACTGGGTCATCACATTCTCTGCAGATGTACACTGTGTTTGTATGTGTGCTTGCTTCCATACACCTTTCCGGAGATTATCAGCTTTTTTCCCCTCCTTAGGGAAATTCAGTATTTACCATTGTATTCATTAATTGAAGTACTTACAATAGAGAAAATTTTAAAAACCTCATAAATAGATTAACATGAGCTTCTGAATTTCAAAGCTTATGCTACAAACAAAATTATGAAAACACATTATTCACCTTATCTGAGAATGAGCTGTCTAGCCCTGTTGGTCACAACCCACACAGTCATTTTTTTACTGAACAGATGAACACTTGGAAAATGGCATTTTGAAAAATGGTAGCACTTTGGTGTTGAGTTTGCTGAAACAATATAATTTGACTGCCTGACAGAAATTGCCTCGAGAGATTATTCATCGAGTTTCATCTAAAGTTACTAGAGTGCCATGCATGATGTGATACCAAACAAATCCAGGGTAGGGGTTAGGAAGGATGGCTAACTAAACAAAGGTTTTTAGGAATGATGTAAGAGCTGGCCACAAGGTGACTTCTAGTATTAAATATACTCCACTGGATTAAAAGGCATGTGACATGTATAGGCTAGAGAAGAGTAAGCCTCTTGATTTTTATGTGTTAAAATAGCCATATCCCATTTCTAACAGCATGTAAAGAAATAAACACACATATGCACCAAAGTGTGGGGAAACTTAGAAAATCCAGGAAAGAATAAGAAATATAGTTAAAGAAATGCACATTTGTGAAGAAAGGTGGGGTTTAAAACTTTCAGGAAAGAAAGCTAACTAGTGACTTAATTACTCTTTTCAGTATTATAGACTAAAAGTAACTTAGTCATGTGCATGGTTGGTTAGAAAAGGAAAATAGAATAGGGATTAAAATGAGAGACGAGTGGATTTGTGAAAACTCTCAATGTAAGAATCATGAAATGCTCAAAGAATCTATTGAGGAAGATCAGGTAATGTTGATCCATGGAGGTTTTCAGGAAGAGAAGTCAGTCTTTAGTCAGAGTCTGGGTTTCCTGCAGGTGGAGCACTTGCCTGGTTGATCAGTCGGTGTTCCATATTTAGTAGCACGCTGTCTTCTTCAGAACCATACATAATTCTTTTGGACCTGGGAAGTTCCTGGCAAACCTTTACCAATAGTATCTGATTTCGCAGGCTCCACTCTATAAAGGTTTCCCCCTTACAAAGGATTATTAGTTGTACTTCATTTCTGCAAGATCTTTTCTCCATAAGGAACTATAAATGTAACAGTCAGCTTTTATAAGACTACAGTATGCCAACAAAAAGGCTAAATAAGGGACACCTGCAAATTAATAACACAGAAAGGAAATCATAGCTGCTAATGAATGTTGCTACAGAAATATGCCCTCGCCTCATAGGAGCCATTTTAATTAGTGGTAAGTTATGAAGGTCACAGAAATCACTTTTTAGTAAGAAAATGTGATGCTCAACTCAGTGATGTAGGAACATATATCT